TGAGTTTTTGTCTTGTATTGATTGTTAGTCTGTTGGTAATGATCTTATACTTAATCCGTCTAAATGTCAAGCTGCTAGCTTTAGCATGAGACATGAACGGAATCCAAACACCATTTTGAAATCCCATAATGCTTGTGCCATCGGAGAATCTTTGATAAACAGTGTCGAAGGTCAATTATCTTGGTGTCACCTTTTCCTCTGACCTCTCTTGGTCTTCTCACGTTTTATTATTATCGAAGAAGGTTTTCCGTCTGACCTACTACATAAAGAGATTGCATGCTCTTAAGATTACTCGTCATTTGCTCTTACAATTTGTCAATTCTCGCATATTACCTATTATCCTTTACTGTTCTCCATTATTCTTTCACGGGCTTTTGAGTGAGGTCTTTGCTGTATTGAGGAGAGTGCTGAAGGCAGTTAGCAAGGTGTGTGGTGAATCGTTCGAGGTCATAATTAATATGGTTGTGGATAGATATCTAAAGTCATGCAAACTCCTGACAGGCGTTGTTTTATCAGATACTAACTATCCCCTTCACTCTTATCTTTCTCCTTGTATATCTTCTGGTAGAACGAGACATCAATACATTAAAATCCATGCACGTAAGCAAAAGTATAAAAGTTCTATAATGCCTTATCTAGCAAATATACTGTGACGAACAGGTTATCAGAGCTAACCTAGTCAATAACCTGAATTCTTAACATGTTTCTAATTTGAAAAGTTGTACAGTATTTCGGTTGTTTTTTAAACATTTTTTGTGTGTAAGAAACTTGTTGAAATACCCTGTGCTGAGAATTTCTATATTGTACCAAAATATAATATTGAATGAAGCCATTAGTAATAATAATAATAAACCCCATTGATTTTCAGATGGTAGAGAAGATTTGAAGCTCAGGTGGGTGATTTTGATGGAGTTTTGTTCTCTGAGCTGGATAGTTTGGTCGTGGAGCTTCCATACTTCTTCTGAACGACATCATTAGCACAAACTTCAGATAGAAGTGAAGTGTTCGAATTTCTCCATATGTGTTTCACAGCTTGTTCTGTGCACCTCGATGTTGATTGGTTCTTGTTGACCTTAAATTTATCATTGTTTACTTCTTTGTTTTGGTTGTGTCTCCCATTGGTTTGATTTTTGTTCCTATATTTATGCATGATTTTCCTGATTGGTTGATAAATTGGATTGATTTCAATATGTTTGTTGATTGCTGATTGACCTGAGTGCCAGGCTTTTAAAAAATTCTCTGGTGCTTTTGGAATTTTACTCTGTCCAAGATTCCCACGGTTTTCCAATCGAATGAGTGTCCGCAGTTGTCCACGTGAAGAAGCATCATGGCGTTTGACTGCTAATTGTTCGTGTAGGAGAGGGTGAAGGGGGCGTCCGCTTTGTCCGATGTAGTGTTTTTCGCAGTTGTCACAGTTTATTTTGTAGATGATGTTTGATTCGTTTTCTTTCGTTATTTCATCCATTGGTTTGCATAGGATTGATTGTAGTGATTTTGTCGGTTTGTGTGCCACACCTATTCCGAAGGTTTTCAGCAGTCTCGTTGCGGTTTCTGATATGCCTTTTATGTATGGTAGGGCGATCCTTTTGTTGATTCCTATGCTTGACTTGGGTTCTGATGCTGCGTGCGGTTGGTATCTTTCGATTGGGTAGCCGTTCTTTTGAAATACGTCCTTCAGGTATTTCTCTTCATTTTTTCGTGCTGCCAGTGTGTCCTCGCCCTCTTGAACAAAGTGTGTACGCAGTTGATTTTGTGAGCTCTTGGGTTGTTGCTATTGTAGTTGAGAATTTGATCAGTATGGGTCGGCTTCCTATACACTTGAGTTTCCAGTTTTCCTGTGTCGGTTCTAGTGTTTAATATATCCAAGAATGATCGTTTGTTGTTTGACTCCTGTACCATTGTGAACTTGATGTCATCGAAGACGTTGTCGATCAGCTTGTAAGTGTTTTCCAGCCGATTTTTTTGACGATGACGAATTTGTCGTTTACATAGCAAATCCAAATTTTTGGCTTGATCATTTGTAATATAGCGGCTTCTAGTCTTTGCATCACTGCTTCTGCGATCAGTCCTGATATTGATGATCCCTTTGGTGTCCCTTTCGTTTGTTCTTAGATTTTGTTGTTGAATTGAAAATATGTTGTTAGGCATAAATCGATGAGTTCTAGTAGACTTTGAATTTGAAGCATCGTGTACTTAGTGAGATTTGTGTCGTTGTTGAGGAGCAGGAATATAGTTTCTTTTGCTAACCTTGGTTCAAGTAAGGTCAATAACGCCGTTACATAGAAGGATATCATCAGTTCGTCGTTGTTGATTTAAATGTCCTTAATTTGGTCCAGGCATTGTGTGGGGGATCTGATGGAGTGGTTGGATGAATCTACTAAATGTTTCAGTATTCGTGAAGTTTCTTTTGACAAATTGTATGTTGGCGTTCCGAGGAGTGCTACAATTGGACATAGTGGAATGTTTGGTTTGTGTATTTTTGGTCTGCTGTAGAATCGAGGGCAGACCAAACACTTCACTTCTATCTGAAGTTTGTGCTGATGATGTCATTCAGAAGAACGATGAAAGCCCCACGACCAAACCATCCAGCTCAGAGAAAAAACTCCATCAAAAACCCCATTGACTTTTGGATAAGACCTCTGGATCAAAGGGTCCCTAAGATAACCACGTGCTGAATTAAGGATAGGGAGTGATGTAGTCGAACGCGTTGGCAACTTCATTTATTTTGGAAGTCTCATCAGCCCTAATGGGTTGGTGTCTGACGAAATCTCAGCACGGATTCGAAAAGCTCGTCACCTATGGCGAAGGCGAGATATCCGTCTATTAATAAAAGGACGAGTAAACTGAGCAGCAGTTCGTTCTGTTTTAATTTACGGCAGCGAAACATGGCCATTAAGAGTAGAAGGTACTCGTAAACTACCAGTATTTGACCACAGATGCCTTAGAAATATTGCTGGCGTCTGCTGGGATCACCGGGTAAGTAATAGTGAGGTTAGATGCAGGGTATTAGGGAATGATGATGATAAATCAGCTGATGAGGTTGTGAATCTTCATCGACTGAGATGGTTGGGCCACGTGTTACTCATGCCTGGACACCGATAACCACGACTTGCAATGCTAACCGGTGTTGGAGATGGTTGGAAGAAAGTTACGGGCGGCCAAACCAAAACGTGGCATCAGTGCTTGAAGTCACTAACCTCTAGTTTGAGCCATGTTGGTAGATGCAGACTACTTGGTTGAGATCCGCGTGACTATAGTAACTAATGGTTGGAGACTTAGTGACATGGCTCAGAATCCACCACAATGGCGTAGGTGTATACACTCCCTGTCTTCCCTTAAACTAAGAGATTAAAATCGCTTCATATCTTTCTTTCTACGTACTAAATCTTTCTACCTGTACTATATCCTTATATGCAATCTTTCTTTTATATATCACCACCTCTGAATTTACTACTTCTATGAGTTTGGTATTCATCTTGTTGTGGTAATGAGGTATGGCAACTTGGACCTATGCATATATGTGCCTGGTCCTAGGTTGTAGCTGACTGACGTGCTTCAATCTGTGTATCCAGACAGTATGTCAGTCTTCTCACAAATAAGATAATGTATAACTATGAAGAAAGTGCTAATATTCGCTCCGCTAAGCTACCTACTCAACCGATACTCACTATGATTCTATTACAAACGTGTCGATTTTACAAAGCATCAAACTCCTATTCCGTTCTCTATTTATCTTTGTATCCCAACTTACTCAGCAGCTCATCTACGTCGTAAGCTCCGTCTTGTCTAAGCGACCCCAAGTCTCTAAGTGGTCGGAACCCTGAATGCCACCACCAAATACGGAATCCAGATCAGTTTTTTCCCGAAAAGTCAAATGCTGTCCTTCTCCAACGTCCGTACACTGAAGAAAATGAGACAACAGATAAGTTTGGTCATGCACCTGGTAACTGCTAACATTGATCTTTGCAGTAGATCACAGACCTTTACACAACATTTTAGTGAATTACTACTAAAGCTAACTGCGAATTTGACATTAAAATACCGTCACAATTATTGCATCCCAACAGTCGTGCTTCCTCATATCATGATCACCTTCGTCTCATTGAGGACTATCACCTGGAACTGTCTGTTCAAATAGGGTGTGTCTGAGAAATTCATTAACATCTTGAAGGCTTACTACACGAACATCTCAGATAGTAAGTGCACACAAACACATTTTTACATTATTCCATTCCAGGAACGCCTTAGGTATGATTCGTTAAGCTCGTCATTCCCCTTCAACTTTTTCAGTGATAATATTGTGAAGACTGCTCTGATCGAAATATACAGCGGTGGTGGTTCGTTGAAAGGACACATAATACATGTTCTAATCACCTTATTTAATGAAGACACCACCTTATATACCGACTTGTTATCTTTATCCAGTACTCTAAGTCTATCCTTTGCATTGCTCATTTGGCAGTCCCAACATACGTAAGCGATTCTTTGAGGACACTCGTAACTAGATGGTAATAATCCACAAATAGCTAACTTTAGGAATCATTTCACAACCATAAATAGGACAGGTCAAACTAATGTGAAGTTGGAAGACGGACGTTTCACTTGTAACACAGGTACCACAAGTTGGAAGAGTTAAAGAGACTTTCTGAAAAGCCGAAAGTGGAAACTTTGAGGAACCGACAACTCAAGACTGATGCATCTATCTAAATATTAGGTGAGTATTTCACGACTTGATATTCCAACAAAAACAGTCAAGTAAATAACATGAACAACAGTCGTTTAAATTATATGTAATCTCAAAAAATTAATTACCAGGCCAATCTGTCAGTGATATTAGACAGAATAACAGCTAAAGCAAATACACAAATATACACATATGTACATAACTATTTACAAACTGGCCTTAAGCCGGTGGAGTCAATAAAAATAAACTAAACACAAGTACAATACTTTTCACTCAATGAATTGAAACAACAAAATAATGATTGCGATGCCTGGACCAACTTGATATATACATCATTTCTAAGAGCAATATTTAACTGTAAGAGTATGAAGAGTTCTTATTATTTCGAAAGAATGAATTAAAATAAAGGTTTTCTTGAAAGAAGCTTTGAAAGAAATGATGAACAGCAAAATCGGTGGGACGCGAGATCGTACAAACATCCATCAATATGAAAGATCGCGTGACAAATGTAACAGAAGCCGAACAACTTCAGCTTCAAGTAAATTACATGGATTAAAAGGATAGTTATTTAGCAACAGTGTCAGCATCAACTAGTTGCTTTGAATCCAAGTTATTCTGATCAACTGACGACACAAGATACACTAAATTACGTTGAAGAACGGCCTGAAGTTGGACCGATTCACGGAATCGACCTTTTCTAGCAAGGTCAGAAACTAACTCGATGATATGTTCATTCTCGTCTAAAAGCTAAAAGTTTGAGGAACAACAATCTATGGGTACTTACACGCTTGGCACTTGTTGCTTCATGAGCGATTACGTACCTAGAGCTATTTTGCGCAAAGGCTCCAGACATTTCTGCTTATTGGGAAATTGGAACCTGAAGATATAGTCAAATTAATGCTATTTGAAAACCTTCATGAGAAAAAAAAAAAAAAAAAACATGGTTCTCAGTGATTAGAGATTTGTGACGAGAAAATCCAGTAGGACTATAATTTGTGTCAGCCTTTGAGTGGCGCTAAAGTGACCTCCAGAATGCCCATCTACTTACTAGGGCTAGATAAACTATTGCGATAAATTCGGATTGTGATTTACAGTTGATGGTTAGAGTTAAGAGATAGACTGGGAGTTTTCATTACAAAATTGCGTGAGCTAAACTGCTAAAGCTCCATTTATCCAAATGGATGAATGAATTTCGCGCCAAAATCCAAAACCCATTACCCTAAATCTGATCGGTTTGTCTATAAATTATAGCCTCACCGAAAAATGATTACTCACTTCCTCACAAAACTCACCACTATTGAAATGTCTAACTTTGCCCCCTTTCCATACTTGACAAATATGGTGAATGTAGAATCCGATGCAAAAATATATCAATCCAGTTAAGAATAATTAACAATAAACTGAAATGAAATCATACAATAAGCAGCAATTCCAATTATGGATCATGAAGTAAAAGACCAGTTGAAATGCTTTTAGGGTGAGTGCTACCTGTACAAAAAATTCAACGATGAAACTTGGAGCATGACAGCACTAACAAACTTACGTATAACATTCGGATTACAGCCTACACTAATCTTCCAATTTCGGGGGAAAAATCATCAGTTTTACGGAAACCACAATAGAAACATCTGAGGAAGTGACACAAAACCTCAGAATTTGGAGGAAATTAAAAATTTATACGACTTTGGGGTAAACCCCGAAATTCCCCCAAAATCAGGGGACTGGGATTAGGCTACCCAGTCTCCCAAGTTTGGGGAAACCTCCAAAGTAAAATGACCTCCACCAAGACTAAAGGGGAATTTCCCCAGATCTAGGGAAATTTGGTGTTTCTGTGCCATTTCTCCAAAGTTCACTATAGCGTCTTCGTCGAAAAAGGGTCAAATTTTCCCCAAAATTGGGCGCTCGCGTACAACTACACATATTACTATGAACTCATTGTAATAAAACCCTCGATGCCGTGGATTTCACCCTCGCAGCCATCCTCACAGGCAAATTTGATAGGAAAACAAACGTATACACAAGGCTACATGGATCTCACCGGACCACACTACAGAGAACCAAATAGATCATATTTGCATCAACAAAAAATTCCGAAGGACAATGGAAGATGTGAGAACCAGGAGAGGTGCTGACGTAGCTTCAGATCACCACCTAGTTGTAGCCAATTTAAAACTGAAGCTAAAAAAGAACTGGACAAGTGGACAAACAGCACTACAAAGGTTCAATACAGCCTTCCTTCGAGATACTGACAAACTCAATGAATTCAAGATAGCTCTCAACAACAGGTTCCAAGCCTTACAAGATCTACTGAAGAAGAAGAAACTACATGGAGGACAACTGGAAAGGCATCAAGGAAGCATTAACTTCAACGTGTCAAGAGGTTCTGGGCCTAAAGAAACACCATCATAAGGAATGGATCTCTATAGAAACACTGGACAAGATCAAAGAAAGGAAGAACAAGAAGGCAGCAATTAACAACAGCCGAACACGAGCAGAGAAAGTCCAAGCACAAGCTGAATACATAGAAGCAAACAAACAAGTGAAGAGGAGCATTAGAGCCGACAAGAAGAAATACGTGGAAGAACTAGCAACGACGGCAGAAAAAGCTGCTAGAGAAGGAAATATGAAACAGCTTTACGATACAACGAAGAAACTAGCAGGGAAATACAGTAAACCAGAGAGGCCGGTCAAAGACAAAGAAGGCAAGCCAATCACCGAAATTCAACAACAGCGTAACAGATGGGTAGAATACTTCGAGGAACTCCTGAATAGGCCGGCTCCAATGAATCCACCGGACATCGAAGCAGCACACATAGATCTTCCTATAGATGTCAACCCACCAACGACGGAAGAAATTAGAATGGCCGTCAGACAAATCAAGAACGGGAAAGCAGCAGGACCCGACAACATACCAGCTGAAGCACTGAAATCAGACATCGAAGCAACCACAAGCATGCTTACCTTCTATTCAAAAAGATTTGGGAGGAGGAACAAGTGCCAATGGACTGGAAAGAAGGACACCTCGTCAAGATTCCAAAGAAAGGAGATCTGAGCAAATGTGAAAACTACAGAGGCATTACACTACTGTCAATACCAGGGAAAGTCTTCAACAGAGTGTTGCTGAACCGGATGAAGGATGCAGTAGACGCCCAACTTCGAGATCAACAAGCTGGATTCCGTAAGGATCGGTCGTGCACAGACCAAATTGCAACACTACGGATCATCGTCGAACAATCAGTTGAGTGGAACTCATCACTATACATCAACTTCATTGATTATGAAAAGGCATTCGACAGTGTAGATAGGAGGACATTATGGAAACTTCTTCGACACTACGGAGTTCCTGAGAAGATTGTCAATATTATCCGGAACTCATACGACGGACTACAGTGCAAAGTAGTGCATGGAGGACAGCTGACAGATGCATTCCAAGTAAGGACTGGAGTCAGACAAGGCTGTTTACTCTCTCCCTTCCTCTTTCTTCTGGTGGTCGACTGGATTATGAAGACCTCGACATCTGAAGGAAAACACGGAATACAATGGACAGCTCAGAATCAATTAGACGATTTGGACTTCGCAGATGACCTAGCCCTCCTATCACGTACACACGAACAGATGCAGATGAAGACAGCCAGTGTAGCAGCAGTCTCTGCATCAGTAGGCCTCAGCATACACAAAGGGAAAACCAAGGTCCTCAAATTCAAAGCGGAGAACAGCAATCCAATCACTCTTGATGGCGAAACTCTGGAAGATGTAGAGTCCTTCACATACCTGGGAAGCATCATCGATGAACAAGGAGGTTCAGATGCAGACGTAAAGGCGAGGATCGGCAAAGCAAGGGTCGCATTCCTACAATTGAAGAACATATGGAACTCAAAACAACTTTCAACCAATATCAAAGTGAGAATCTTCAATACGAACGTCAAGGCAGTTCTACTGTATGGAGCTGAAACTTGGAGAACTACAACAACCACAATCAAGAAAGTACAAGTATTTATAAATAGCTGTCTACGCAAGATACTCAACATCCATTGGCCGGATACCATCAGCAATAGCCTTCTGTGGGAGAGAACAAACCAACTTCCAGCTGAAGAAGAAATTAGGAAAAGACGATGGAAATGGATAGGACATACATTACGCAAATCGTCAAACTGCATCACGAGGCAAGCCCTAACTTGGAATCCTGAAGGGAAGCGGAAAAGAGGAAGGCCAAAGAACACATTGCGTCGGATAATAGAAGCAGATATGAAAAGGATGAATTACAACTGGAGGAGCTGGAAAGGATTGCCCAGGACAGGGTTGGATGGAGAATGCTGGTGAGCGCCTATGCTCCTTCACGAGGAGTAACAGGTGTAAGTAAGTAAGTAAGTTTTCTTTCTTCACACTCTTCTTCCTTTACAGACATCTGCTTCACCTTCCACCTTCCCCTTAAATCTTCCACCCCCAACTGATTTATTTTTCTTTCTACTATCCTCCTGATTACATTTAATCTCAAGTTCAACAGTTTGTCATCTTTCAGTGTAGCCGTCAAATCGTGAATATGAGGCAACGGGTAACGATCGGAGTGGTTTTCGCGTTCAATCGCCGATAGTCACCAGTTGGACGCCAATCGTTGCTTTCCTTTTTAGGGACCATGTGCAACGGAGATGCATATGGGCTATTTGACGGTCGTATGATTCCTAAGTCTATCATATGGTCGAATTCGTTTTCCGCTAACCTTAGCTTTTCGGGAGCTAGTCGTCGTGCTTTGGAAAATACAGGTGGTCCTGTAGTCGTGATGTGATATGTAACATTGCTGGTTACACACGGTAGTTTCGGTTGAGTTTGTTGTATCCCAGGGTACTTATTGAGTAGTGGCTGATAGAGTGGGTCTATCATATGCTTAATTGTGACTGGGGATAATTTGCAACCAGAAAAGGAAGTTACGCAGACGGATAAATTAGTGTTTCCGTCAACTAGCCTCCGTTTGCGCGTATCGATGATCAGATTATGGTGTTGTAGAAGGTCCATACCAATAATTGGCATAGAAACATCTGCAACAACGAAGATCCAGTGAATGGGTTTGCGTAAACCCACGTTAACGTAAACGTACCTTTTGCCATAAGTAACGATCGGTTTTCCGTTTGCCGCCTGTAAGTTTAGAGTCGATTCGTGAAGTCGGTAGTTGGAATTCGCTGGGAGAACGCTAACTTCTGCGCCAGTGTCGCCGAGGTAGCGAACTCTCGTTGTCACATCTGTGACGTATAACAGACGGCTATGTTCGCCGGCCACGGTTGCCGTCAACGCGTGCCGGCCTGAAAGTTTTCCGAGTTGTTTTTCGGATCGGTCGGTTTTGAGTTGGGAAAATTGCGGGTTTTCTGCAGTTTCTGGAAGACTTTCCATACTAGTTATGATACCAGCACCAGTCGGGTTATCCGTCTCCCGTGGTTTAGAGACAGATCGCTCACGTGAGGTGCTTCTACGTGGGGTGTGTGATCGCCTACGGTCGTTAAGAAAATTAAGATAACGCGTGAGTGTATGACATGACTGGGTTATGTCATTCTGAGTCGTTCGAGTCTTTTCTTTGACCAAAAAAACCTCGGTATTAGATTTTGTGATTTCTAAAATGCGGTCGACAGATGCAGCTAGCTCGTTCAAGGCGTTGAGGAAGTTTCGACACGAAAAGTAGTTTTAATAGTCCATAACTGAAGGTTTTTTGGCCGATAATCTCTCTCGTTCTAAGCAACATGTCCGTCACAGGACCGTGTTGCAGGTCTATGTTATTGAAGAGTTGATCTAACCTTTGTCGATCGGTTTGGTCTCCGCGTCTAAAAATAGAACGTTTAAAGATTTCGTAAGGTTCGGAAACATCACTAGTAAACATACTAGGTGTTACGTACCTGTTGAATTCGCGCGGTGGTGCTTTGAC